CAAATATTAGTAATTTATTTATTATACAAAATAATATTATATTATATTATATTAATAAATAAAATAATACACACACTTAAATGAATTTGTTATATAATGTACTTGTATATAAAAATAATTAACTATTTATTAGTGATATAATTTTATTTACTATGTTTTCGATAAAATTATATTTATTATAATTAATTTTAAACATTTCGAGTTAACATAAAATAATTATAATAAAAATTTATTATTAATAATTTAAAGATTGACAATTTAAAAAAAAATCTATTTATTAATTGATTTTATCTCAATAAACTTTTATCTCAAAAAATTAAAAAGTTAAAAATAATTTTAATAATTAAATAATAGTAATTTACTATTAAGGATTGTATTTTCAGGGAACATTTAATGTAAACATACTGTACCGAGGTAATTAGTTTTATGATACCTTTGTTTAAGAAAAAGTATATTTTTATATTAATTAAAATACTGTATAACTTCTAAATATTATAATTAATATTATTTTAAAAACTTTTATTTCATATCAATAAATAGAAAATGTAATACATATCATATTAATTAGCAAAAAATAATATTAATTAAATTTAACTTAATTTTTTAAACAAAAACTTCATGGCGTTTAATGAAATCACCTAGATCCCTAACTCTAGCTTTCAATTTTATCACCTTTGTCAACTTTCTTGCATTTCTTTCCACTTTCGTTCCATTTATATGATTTACCGCATTGTATTTCAGTGGCTTTATATTGTGGCTTGCTACTCTTACTATCCAGGTCCTTGTTACATGTAATGTACCAGTTACACTTTTTAGGAACAGGGTGAGCAAACTGACATGGTGATTTAGTGCGACACTTTGAATCGTCAATCGCAGGGCATTTTAGTTCAGTTTTACCGGCGGACACGTAGTAGGTTAGGATGACTATCAGCACCACCACCACCACCAGGGTCTTTGCTGAATACATGATTCTGTAGGAATGTCCTAGTTAAAAGTAATTAATAGAAAATTAAAATATTTTAATTACTTGAAATTGTTCACCTTTTTATTTAGGGTTACTAACATATTAAAATAAATAACAATTTTTTTGTAAAATGTTTTACAAAGTAAAATGTAACCCTTATGTTTTTAAATTTTAATTAATATAAACTATTTATACATTGAGATTTTAAGTGATTTATTTTTTAAACATTTTTATGTAATTAATGTTATTATTAATATATTAGTATTTGTATGTGTATCATTGGATATAAAAATATCTGTATTACGGTGGTAACTTATGTACAAAAATATACAATTCATGATAATATCAATTATCTATTAGTTATTATAAAATCTCCATTAACTATAATATTAAGTATACAAAATTATAATTTATTTTCTAATAAAAATAACTTTCTAAAAAATATTGTAGTTAATTTCATTAACCATTGTTAAATTTAATTTATTATTGTAAGTTTGACTCTCAAGTCAATTATAGTTATGTTAGTACTCTTTAGACTGTAATTTCAAACATTATTTTTTAATGTTAAAGAAGTTATATTCAATATTTAATTATTGGACAAATTAACACCACTTTATGTGTTTTAATTTTTTTGCCTGTAACAGTTAAATCAAGTATAATATATTATTTTTAAATAATTTAATAGTCGATAAGTATTTATTCCTTCATTATATAATTTTTAAATATATTTCTAAAATATAACTAATTAAATTAGGCTAGCAATACAGTTAGTATTAAATAATTTTATCTCTTACAATGTTAATTGAATTGTTGCAATACGAAACTTAATTTGTTAATAAACATAATATTATTTATATTAAACAAAAATTTTTTTTAATTACATTATAATAAAAAATTGCATAATATAAAAATATGTTATATAAACTTGTTTATTACAAATTTGTCAAGTTTAATAATTCAAATTATATTAAATAGTATCGTGTATATTTTTAAATCATTCAAATATCACCATCAACAATTTGTATTATCATTATTCTCACCACAAATAATGTTTAAAATTCGGGTCCTATTTGTCATATACCTTAACATTTGTCTCATAGGCGCCGACACGTGATATACTAATCCAGGTCTCGGGAAACCATTAAACTGGGTACTAGAGCTCGTGGTATAGGCACCCATATCATTAAAATGCACCCACTCCCCTATATTCAGCTCCGGTAGCACTACACCCTTAATAATACAGTCGATACTATCACATGTCGGCCCCCACAAAGTGGAGGTATATAGTGGGCGGTCATTAGTATCAGTCGAAAGGGGAATGGGATTAAAGATCACACCATCTATTTTGGAGCTCAAGAATGAACCATAAATACCGTCATTCAAATAGTACATCATTTCGGGCGACCCGGTAGGGCTGTCCCACTGGACACACCTCTTGGCTATTATATTGGTGGCCAATGTAAATGCCGAACCGACCTTGTACAATTAAAACGTATAATATTAATCTACATAAATCTATCTATTTTTAAATGGACCTACATAGTATCTGCCTAATTCCGATATAATAGATATGTCAGATTTATTGCCATTTGAGTCAATTGCAGGGAAATGGAGCTCAAGTGCACTATTAACAGCCTGTGCCATGACCTCAAAAGTAGCTTGGTTAGCCGACACAGCACCTGGAAACCCACCTCCTTAATTAAATTTTAAAATATAATTTTAAATTAAATCATTTCAAAAAATTAACTAGATAACCTACCTATATCCAAAAACTTCATAATAAACCCAAGCTCCCGGCCCACCTCAAATACCCACTTGGCATCAGCAATAGCCTGGTGATATGCCTGGGCAGATTGACACCCACTGCCCACATGAAAACTGACCCCGATCACCTGGAGATTTAGCCGTATCACAGTTTGTAGTAATTTGCGCACCTCACTTTTATGGGCCCCAAATTTTGTGCCTAATGGCCATCGCGAGTGTCTATCATCTACCCTAATACGTATGACCAAGGTAGCATCAGGGTGATATTGACGTATTTTATGGAGCTCTAGCTCGTTGTCAAACGTCATGATATTGACGCCTATGTCGCGGGCGTGTCGTATGAATGAACCAGATTTACAGGGATTGGCGTATATTATGCGGTTAGCGGGTATACCCAAGTCTAACACCAAGTCCATTTCACTCTGAAAATAAAATGATATAAATAAATTAGCTTTCATTTTGAGTCATTTACATTTTAGGGGAGTATTTGAAAATCTAAAACTAAAATAGATTTTTAAAATCAAAAACTATAAACTCATAATACTTGAATTTTAGTTAATTATTATGCTTGGTGATAAAAAGTATAGAAAAAATTGTATAGTTATGCTTTGATAAAACTAAATCTGTAATTTATAATTATCGTCTCATTTATTTTAATAATTTTTGGCAACTTTTATTATATTGACAATTTTTAAACACAAAAGTACTACTATAAAAATTCCTATACTTTAAGTATATCCTATAAGCTTAATTTATTTTAAGTTATCAATAATATTATTATTAATATAACATTAATACAGTATTATTATGTGTATTTGTCTATGTGTGTGTGTGTGTGTGTGTGTGTGAGAGAGAGAGAGAGAGAGAGATGTGCAATCATTTGGTTGGATTGATATTTGTTGTGATGAACTTCCGAAATAAACTTCTGTAAGAAAAGACTGTTTTCTACANTGAGAGAGAGAGAGAGAGAGAGAGAGAGAGAGTGACTGTATTTATATTTTCAGGATTTAATTTAATATTTCACAATAAATGATATTTTTCACTTGGGCTAGTTTAGAACCCATATAGAAATTTTTGAATTTTTAAAAACATATAACACACCTAGATGCTATAATTTATTATTTAAACTAATTCATACCTTTGAGGCGCAATCAAACCCGACTCCCAGTCCCGCCAACAACTCGAGTACTATCGGAGAGGGATTGCATTTGACGGCATAATAGGGCTGAACGCGGGGTATATTTAGCAACCATTTCATGTGTTTGCGTACAATATCCTCGATGTCCACCACATAGAAGGCCTCATCGCAACTACCGGTGCCGCCACTGGATATGGTGTCACGAATTACCTTCTCTATATTAGTGATGATTGTGTCGGCTGAAAACAATTTATAAACTGTGTATTTGTAATATTGTTTTGTAATTAATAAAAAAAAGTGTAAAATATAATATTGGTTGGTAACAGAGTCAAACTGTAATTGAATAAATTTTTTATTATAAAAATTATTCAATTTTTAATTTTATATAAGTATGGATATTAAGTTCAAATTAGTTTTCAAAATACTAAATAACTTTATTATTTAACCGTATAAATAGTTAATAAATTATTAATTCAAAAAGTATTATCTAAATTTAAACTTATGGGAATTTCAAAATTAATTTTTTAACAATATATTGTAGTGGGTTAAACCTAATGTCTAAACTAACCCACTACAATATCAATTATACAGATTTTGTTTGGTCAATCATATAATTATAAATCATATTTAATATTAAAATTTACACGTTATTACACTTACCCAGCGCGATATTAGTTATATCATAAATATCCGTGAAACTCTTGTTATTAATGATACTAGTTGCATTACTATTAGCTATTTTTGTCATTGTATAAATAATTATTAAAACTAAATATTATAAAACAAAATTAAAATAATTAGAGAATTATAACAAAACAGAAAATTTATATTTTAAACTTTAATTACAAATAATTTTATTTTTATTTATTTCAAGTAAACACCTAGAAACTATTCATAAAGCAAAATAAATGATATTGGCAGACTAGTAGGCTTTTATATAAATTATCGTATATTTAAGCACATTAGAAATGCTATCTGTCCTTTGGAGGACATACCTGCGCTAATCTGTTTATTATGCCTACCTATACTATTAGACTTTAATAATTATTAGAGAAATTGCCAGGATGAAAAAACATTTATAAACTCAAACAAAATTAAAGTAGACTTTCCTTGAAATTAAACAGAATTATGACAAACATGGCTTTACCAAGCATATTTATTTGTTTGCTTTAATATGAGTAAATTATTGAAATAAAATAAAATAAATTTTATAAAAATTCTTAATTAACATAAAAATATTTTGAAAGTTGCAGTATATTATTTTTCTAATGTATGTAAATAAAATGATTAATTACTATAATTTAAAGTTATTTTTATAAATTTATGTAAATCATTGTAAGACATAGTCTGGGAATTTACACAAAGATTATTAAAACTTTAAAATATGAAAACTCCTAACTTTACAGTATTTTCTCTTTAATATTAATTTAATAAAAAAATTTCTTAAAATTTCTTAAATGTTAACAATATTTTATATTTTAATTAAATGTTCTTAATTAATATTAGTTTTTATTGCATCAAGCAATATGTTTAGCAAATGTAAAAACCCCTTTTTAAAAAATTATAAATTATTAAAAATGTTAAACTACAGTACTATAATTAATAGTATTAAATCAATAAAATGGATATTGTAAAAAGTATTATTATTCATTTTATTTTAAAATTTTTACTATATACACATTTTAGCAAAAACAAAGTAAATAAAATAATATCAATAAAAGATTAATAAATATTTTTATATACAAGTGCATTATATAACAAATTCATTTAAGTGTGTTTGTATTACTATCTTATTTATAATGTATTTGTGATAATAAATAAATTGCTAATAGTTGTTATAAAAAATACTTACTGTTACAAACATAATATTATTAAATTTGATAAATTATCATGGGTTTGATTTGGTTAGTGTAATTTTGAATTATTAATTCAGCCTGTAATTTTAAAAATTAAATTATAATGTTATAAAACTTATATTGAATATTTAATTATTGGAAATTTGAGACACCTTTTTGTAAACTTTCAAACATAATAAATTTAAATTTGATTAAATATCATATAATTTAGAAAACATTATAAAAATATTTTATAAAATTTTAACAATATAAGTTAAACTTTAAATATTAGCTCCATAAACTGTAAAATAATTATTATAATGATATATACTAATGTAAAAAGTTATTGATAAATTAATTTGGCTTCTTAAAGAATATTTATTATTTTAATTAAGAAATCTTTTATTAAATAAAATATAAATTATACATTATACTATATAATACTTATTTAAACTTTATTAACTTAAAACTAGTGGTACAGTAATATCTTACTTTCATTCAAAATTAAATATACAGATTGAAAATTGTAATAATTTTTTTGAACAAAATAGTAAAACATTGTTCAAACCAAAAATACTTTTAATTTTCTATTTAAAAAATAATATAAGAAAAATACTCTTATTTTACAGTTTTATAAATTTATAATCTGATAGTTTAAATATGTACTGGCTTCAGTAAATTATAAGACTTGATTAAAATAATTTATTACTAAATCTGTATATATCTGCGCATAATATTAATGCTCATAGATTTAATGATAACTACTTGTATTATAATTTATTATTATTATTATTATTTAATTAAATATAATATTATTGTATAATAATTTTCGTTAGGATGGAAAATCTAATTAATAATACCAATAGCTAAATGCGATCTAATTATCTACTAATTAAGACATTAAAATATCACATTTTAAATATTTTATTTACAATTGTTGACAATGTAACAAAATTAGAAATATTGACAAAAATATTTCAATTTAATTATTAAATTTCAAAAATATTATTTTGTATGTTAGTGCCTAGTTACTTTATTATATTACAGAATAAAGCTATTAAATCTGTATTATTGTATACGTTAGTTAATTGTAGTGAAAAATATAATCGGTTTAATCAAGATATTTAATAAATTGTGTGATTACAATATTATGGTGTAAATTTACATTAATAGCATAATAGTTCAAGGGAGGTTAATAGCATACGATATAATATTAATACTAAACTGGAAATCTCGAAATATTCATACTTTTTAATGTATTATAATGTCAATAAATAGAAAATTAACAAGGTGTTTGGCAGAATATTAGTGATTACTTATGAATTATGGATTTCTAATTATAACATAGTATATAAAAATTACTAATGTTTTAATATAATTATATTGTTTAGAAATAAATAAATTAAATTTTTAGAGAGAGAGAGAGAGAGAGAGAGAGAGAGAGCAATAGGATGACGGGGTGAGCATGGTCGAAAAAGTAAATATCACAGTTTTGGGGCTCCAAATTATAATTTTATCAAATATTAATGGTAGCAAACGGAAAAGTTTAATTTATTTTACAGTTTATACTAGTAAACGAGTGTTTTATAAAATATAATAAAGTTATCGCGCTTAAATCTTAAATGAAATGTAAAATTAACTCATCAAAATGTTTATACACGTTATTATTATGAAAAATTAATAGTCTTTCACATTTCTAAAATTGTACGTGTACATTAAATATTTAAAGAAATATACCCAGGTGCTACAATAAGCGCCGTAGGATTTGTCTAGTGGTTCATCCCCTCATACTATCTGAAACACAAATTCGTGGTAAAATCAACCATGCTACAAAATCCGATAACAAATGCTTATTAATCACCACTTTCTACAAACACAACTATTAAGAAAAGTGAACCTACCAACTGAAACTTTTGTTCAAAATATGATCTACATTATTTACTACCTGGCCACGGTAGGCCAACATCATGTTTGCATTCATGTCTTACAATAGGGACGCCGTGTTTAACATCAGGATATTAGCTATCACTTTCATCATCTCTATTAACACGATTATATTGTCGATGAATGTGATTAGCACTTGGATTACACCGGTAGTTCATACACCATTCCTGGAACGGTGTAGGGACTACGGTCCTATATATCTCGTAATAATTTTTTGCTTAATCATAGGATGAAAGTAAATACGTTTATCAAAAGGCTGTCCTCCAGTCCCACTTTTGGCTACTATTGTATGGATTTGTTTCTCATGAATTCGGATGAGTTGTATAAATACTTTAAACGTAGCCAGGTGTAAATTATTTCCTAATTATTAGTTTTATTTAAATAATTATTGTAAAATATTTATTAATTCAATATGTCTATTAATAAACTGTAAACCAAATTATTTATTTATGAATAATTTGTTTAAGAAATGCCTATTTAATTAAATTGGCATATTATTGATTTAAAGTTTTAAAATAAATTTATGATATATAATATTAAACTGTAAACAAAATTTTAAAATATAAAATTATTGTAATGAATGTTTTATTTAAAAAATTGAATTCAATTCATGATTAGACGATTAGAGTTATTATAATAATTATAATTATTATTATATTTAATAATGAATTATTTTGGCTAAAGTATAACAATTATCAATTTTTTGCTAGATATAAATTTTAATGTTATTTTAATTTATAGTAACTAAATAATATAGATTCTATTATTATATTATAGAACCTTTTAAAAACTTTTAACCTTTTTAAATAATAAACTAGCCTTGGTCAATACTAAAACATGTAAAAGACGTGTGAGTGAGTGAGTGAGTGAGAGAGAAAGAGAGAGA